GTCACCAGGTCACTTCAAGTGACATCACCTCATAAAAAAGTTTCAATGTATGCCGGGTAGCTACACCGAGTGACCGATCGCTTTGAAACTTTCAGCGATTGATAAGGGCAACGCATGTACAAAATTTATATCTCGGAATTTTCATATCGGTGACCTAAGGTCAGCTCAATTTTGCGACCTCTATTATAAGTCAATGGGAGAAAATTAAAAACCATCTCTTTTGGACGAAAGTTATTCTACACACAATGAAACATTGTACGTGACTTTGACACACTGAACATGAAAATAGCAGCCGTGACCCTTGCTTATGCCCCTGAGGTCATCTCAGTTCACGAATGGTATCTAACAGTTTTTCGCGAATAACTTTTGAAAGAGGCATGATAGAGCCATGAAAATGCCTTAGTTGCGTTTGGCTCGACGATGCAGATCGACTGATATGCAACATGACGATTTCCGGTCAGATCATGACCTCGACCTGAGGTCGAATTTTCAAGTTGACCTTCAAGGTCAAATTGTAATTAATTTGATGCGTCTTGACGAGAGGAACAAAGAAAGCTCGTGCAAGGCATGAGTCAAAAGTTATTGCAGAAAAACTGTTCCCGAAAAAATCGTCTATTTTGGTAGTTTTTGCCCCTTGCAGGCAAAACCGTTGATTTCAGGGCCTCGGCTAACATGTTAACTACTGGGGCAAATGCCCCAGTAGAGTCGAGGAATGCCCCAGTAGTGGTCAGGCTTTGCCCAACCTCCACAACATGAGAATATATCAATATTAACGTACATTCTTTCATTCGGGAGCGGTTGAAGACGTTTGTGGCAAGAAATCAGGGGCGGCGGAAGAGGGAGTGCACGGTGTGCAGCTGCACCCTCAATTTCCATCCAAAAACATAGGCGTACAGCCCACCGCTAAAGTAATGTAGGGTTTTACCTATCTCAACGATTGGCTTTGACTGGCGATTGTTTAATGCGGAGTGATCGAAAAGAAGATGTCAATAGCTAAAATTGCAGCTGCAAGGGTGACGATACATATAAGCTACATTCAAAGTTTCATTGTAGTCTGGCTAATCGTTCCTAAGCTTCAGAAGAAGAACATACCCATGACTGAAACCGCACATTACTTCTGCTGTGGACTGTACATTGGCAAGCATATCTTTTTACACCCCGTAATCCATCTTCGTTCGAAAGAGCGTCAAAAATAATGACGAAATTACTTCAGCCACTTTTTGGTCAGGTCAAAGGTCAGGTCATGGTGAAGGCCAAATTTCGCCGATTTTCAGGTCGAATATCGACAGTTTACTAGATGCCGACGCATAACTCGGGAACCAATTAGAGCTACAGCACCGCGGAAAAGCGCATTTGATAGCCATATTAGCATGCTTTCTGGTTATTTCTCATAGATTTGGCCTAACGTCAACGGTTTTGCCTGCAACTACTAAAAAGACAATTTTGGGGGAACAGTTTTTCTGCAATAACTTTTGACTCATGCCTTGCACGAGCCAAGGCCCAATGCAAGCGCTTTCTTTTATCCGACATCGTGTTCCTCTCGTCAAGACGCATCAAATTAACTACAATTTGACTTTGAAGGTCAACTTGAAAATTCGACCTCAGGTTCAAGTCATGATCTGAGGCCTCTTGCACCAAACTACCTAGCTAGGTAAAATCGAAAAACCGGTTTCAGAATAAGCTAATCTAAACCTAAAGGTGGTAAATTTGTTTGCAATTGCCCAATACATAGCCCTACATGTGCTTGCTAAATTTTGCACGCAAATTGTTACATTTGAGACTTGGACTGGGTATACGATGCAAAATAATCCAAGCATTGGTGCAAGAGGATTTTGGTGCAAGAGGCCTCTGACCGGAAATTGTCATGTTGCATAGATCTGCATCGTCGAACCAAACACAACTACGGCATTTTCATCGCTCTAGCATGCCTCTTTCAAAAGTTATTCGCGAAAAACTGTTAGATACCATTCGTGAACTGAGATGACCTCAGGGGCATAAAAAGGGTCACGGGTGCTATTTTCATGTTCAGTGTGTCAAAGTCACGTACAGTGTTTTATAGTGTTTAGAATAACTTTCGTCCAAAAGAGGTGGTTTTGAATTTCTCCCATTGACTTATAATAGATCGGTCGCAACAGTGAGCTGACCTTAGGTCACCGATATGAAAATTCCGAGATATAAATTTTGTACATGCTGTTGCCCTTATCAATCGCTGAAAGTTTCAAAGCGATCGGTTACCCAGTGTAGCTACGGCATACATGGAAACATTTCATGAGGCGAGGTCACTTGAAGTGACCTGGTGACCTGATCTTGAATGACCTTGGTCTGAAATTTTTACAACACGTGTAAAATTGATGGATGATGGAGCGCCGCCGTTTTTTTAGATATCCGCGAAAAACCGCAGGAAAAACCGCAGGTGTTCAAACCCCCCCCCCCCCCCCAGCAGGGCGCCAACACACTTTGACGATTTGCCCCAGTAGTCAAAATTCCTTAGCCGAGGCCCTGGTTGATTTTAGGTCAAATCCAAGACAAATACTACCAGAAAGCATGCTAATATGGCTATCAAATGCGCTTTTCCGCGGTGCTGTAGCTCCAATTGGTTCCCGAGTTATGCGTCGACATCTTGTAAACTGTCGATATTCGACCTGAAAATCGGCGAAATTTGGCATTCACCATGACCTGACCTTTGACTGGACCAAAAAAAGTGGCCAAAGTAATTTCGTCATTATTTTTGGCGCTCTTTCGAACGAAGATGGATTATGGGGTGCAAAAAGATATGTTTGCCAATGCACGCCTATGTTTTTGGATGGAAATTGAGGGTGCAGCGACTGCAGCTGCACACCGTGCACTCCCTCTTCCGCCGCCCCTGATTTCTTGTCACAAACGTCTTCAACCGCTCCCGAATGAAATAATGTACGTTAATATTGAAATATTCTCATTTTGTGGAGGTTGGGCAAAGCCTGACCACTACTGGGGCATTCCTCGACTCTACTGGGGCATTTGCCCCAGTAGTTAACATGTTAGCCGAGGCCCTGAGGGTAGGTAAGTCATAAGCATGCGTTCTCTTCCATATGTTCCGGTTTTTTTTTTTCGCTATAGGTCAAAAACTTTCTGAAAAATATAAAAATATAAATTTTGAATTTTATGTGATAAACTTTCGAAATTTTCAAAATTTTGAAAATTCGAGATAGCAGTCTGATAGCGCAGTCTATTCTGAGTACTTAAATGCAAAGAAATTGGATCTAGCTTAAAAACTGAGCTCTTGGGAGCGATTGCCATGGTTCAATGTTTTGCGTCGAAATCGGCCGAACATGACGTCACTCTGACGTCATTTCCGGCCGACCTATGGTAGCTACGAAGTTCATACTTTGACACAAGGTGTCAAATTGATGCAGCCGAAGGTACTGAAAGTTTGGCGTTGATACGTCAAGCGGTTCGGAAGTTATTGCAGAAAAACGGGAGGGGGCTATGAATAGCCCCCCCCCCCCCCCAGTGGGGCGCGGGTTAAAATAACCGAAGTATTTCTTGCATTCCTTTTGACGCCTTTTCTAATGACGCTTAAACTGTGTGTCGCTATGTGGCCCGGGAGCCGAGTTAAACGGGGAGGGCGTTTTCACGCCCCCTCCCCCAGCACGACACGGAATCTTCTCGTAGACCACCAGCACGGCGCGGGAGCTATAGCTGGGGTCTCAGTGCCCTGCGGCCTGCAGTCTTGTGCCCAGTCACAGCGACCTCACACACCACAGTTACACTGAAAACAATTCAACCCGCGGATTGCGAGTTGGCCCGCGTATCGCGGGTATTTTGAAGAAATTACCCGCTCTGCGCGAGTTTTTGCTGCCGGGTAGGCTGACTACCCGTTTAGCTTCCCGCGTTTCGCAGAGCATCCCGTTATCATCGTAGCTTTCACCCGCTTCACGGGTGTCAACGCCCGCTATACTCGGGTAAAACAGCAACCCGTCATGCGCGGATACATGAAACCTCCTCTGGCGGGGTCAATCACTCGTCCGCAGCGGGTTGTGGCCGCATGGCGTTACTCGCGCCCACGGAGTAAGCGCATCACGCAGGTTTTGCATCGTGTAACTCGCTGCGCCAAGGTAGGTGACATGCTATACGCAGGTTGCCTTGATCACGCTTGTGTCATGGCTGGAGATGTGCAAGGCAATTGTAATCGTAACTGTAACAGCTGTGGGCTGCGTTCTGTGAGTTAGGAGGGTACTTAACGGGCTTGGGACATTTGAATCATTGTTTGGATGACGTCACGTCTTGGCCGGCAGAATATTTCGCTGGAACGCTCAGCAGAATAGTCTGCAGTCCGCGAATCTGGTGCATTGTGGTGAAGTTTGCAGACCGTTCTTAGCACATTTTATTGGTAAAAATAAGCCTGGAGAAATAAATCTTTCCCGATGCAAATGAAATATTTGTCCAAACTATTCCTTAATATTTAAAACAATATGGGCGGATTCATGTCAATTGTCTAAGATAAGCCTTTTTACTTTCTGTATTGAGTCCGCCGTCAGTTCTTCATTTTAATCTGATATACACCGACATTTCAGTCGCTTTGCGTCAGGTCGCCTGTGGCGCAGTTGGTAGAGCATCGGTTTGTAATGTCAAAGATATCGGGTTCGAATCCCGGCGGGTCGGCGGCTTTTTCCTCCTTGAACGCCGCCACTGGAGGGTACTTCACCCTCCAGCTGATTTGGACACCCTACCAGCGGATATTTGTACTCGCAGAAAGCGAGTTCACAACCCACGCAGCGCAGGTAATACGCCATGTGCGGATTGTGTACCCGCTGCGAACGGGTAGGTTGCCTTCTGTGTGTGGGTTGAGTCCCCATCCTATGCGGGTTAGGTACACAATATACTCGGGTTGACAGCCTGCGATATGCGGGTAAACGCACCCGCTGGTAGAGTGTCAAATTAGGTGGTGGGTAGGTGTACCCGCCAGCAGCGGGTTTTACTCGCTGTACGCGGGTTGAATTGTTTTCAGTGTAGTGATCATCATTAGGTATTTATTGTATAAAGTACAAGTGATTATTACGCTAACGCTGTGACCCTGAACCCTGAGATTACATCTGAACGGGCCATCACAAATTCACCGGTAAGCGATCTAGCCAGCAAACACAAAGGAATCACTAAGTGTATGTAAATTATAAAAGGCTTGCAGGAAAATGAGTCGGGTGAGAGGCGCAACGACTGTTCCGCATGAGATACTGTGTCCGTAATAAATTATCGGCCGGACACTATAATACTACCCGAGATGTTAGCAATTGAAGAAGTGTCTGCCCTCAGTGCTTTTCGATACACCTAAGCACCGTGAAATCATAACCATGAATACACACACCACTCAGTACCTGTTGCTGCTTAGGCTTTGGTGTACATGGTTTGCCCAGGGATGTTTCCTGCGGGGCCATAGTTACAAATATACGCATGTACGTCACCGGGTCCCACCTCCTCGGAAAGCCAGAACTTTACGGCAATATAGCCACACCCCACCTTAGTGGTGGCCGCCCATAACAGCTGACTGAGTTTGCTGGTGTCCGTCATACCAAAGTCATCTTCCGGCGGGGCTTGGTACGTCAGACTGGTCTGGTTAAAGTTCTCTAGCTGCTCAGTAAAGTAGCACTCTTCGATAGCGCGCGTCCAGTTCTTCTGACCAAAAATCATCGCTACGTTCTGTCCGACCTTGAAGCGCTGAACGTCGCGGCAGAGATCGCTGTCGTCCATGCACTGGTCGGCCCAGCGCTGGGCCAGCGTGGCGAGCTCCTGGTCCCAGCTGAGGGGCGGCAGGGAGACGGCCGGCGGCAGGCCGCGCTGGCTGTACTCGCCCTTCTGCACGGCGGCCCGCAGCCGGTTGTGGACGGCCAGGATGGTGGTCTGGTCGCCTGGCGTGATTCCGCGGGTGACGACCGTGTCGCACATGGGTGCCGGGCCGTCCGTGTCGAACACGCACATGGTGTGGTCCTCCACATGCGGACAGGTGGTGATGTTACAGTAGTCTGGCTCGGCAGTCGTCAGGGAGGTCACCAGCAGCGGCAGAAGTAGCGGCACCATCTCGCAGACAGGAGAGAGGGTCTTCAATGGAAGTTAAGCCTAAAATGATGCAAATAAATGCGTACCAGTTACTCCTCATATAATATGGACGATTATCACTTTCGTCACAAGTCAAGGGTCAAGTCACAACTCAACTCACAGCTTTCTTCATAATGATTCATGCGCTATAGGCATTCCATCGTGAAAAACTGTTCACGATTAAATCACATCACCCACCACTCTTCGAAAGTTAGGTATTCATTCATTACAATACATGAACTGAACACAGTAGCAGTTGCACGAGGTCCCAAGACAAAAGACACGACACAGCTTTGCTGCTGATGTCGCAAAAGATCGCAGCCTAAATCACCTGCGTGTTATGCTGCGCCGCAACGCTTATTGGTTAGCTTACCGCTCGCCAGATGGCAGGAATGGTTAGCGCCTGCGAGGTAGACTGTACCGCCTAGCCTCGAGACCGTCCTAAGTCTTTAGATCGGATACGGGCGACGTTCAGCTTCATTTTAAATAACCATTTTGAGGGCATAATGGCTGCCTATAAATGAGCTGCAATTAGTGATACATTCGCGTCGCATGGGAAGTCAAAAAATGAAATTAGCTAATGGAGAGTCCAACGTCCAGCTATAAGAAACAGCGCACTCATTCCTAACCCGACAGTTTATTTCTCAGATGTCTATGCAAAACAAAAATAAGACTGCACCCGTTCTGTCTGCTCTCGTGACCAACCCGGCCATAGTTGTCTTTGCTAACATTTCCTTGACGACTTGACGGTCGTCTCTCCCCCAACAAGGCCGGTGAAAGGCAGCTCCAGGAGCACATCGATGATGCTCGGCGGTAACATTTTTAAAATGTACATATATTTAGGTACCCAGGGGGAATGGAGACTCCCGTTCAAATGTTGCGGCTGGGCTACTGCGGTGTGCCAGTCTCTGGTCGATTTAGGCATAGATACCTACCAACGTCTTTCCTTTATTTTTATCCTATATGCCATTAGGCTATCAACCCTATAAAAGAGGTAGCCCATTTAAAATACCGAAGGAGTCAGAATCAACATAACAACCCACAATTTAGCAGACCTTTGACTTTTGAAATGCTTCGAATTTCTCGTTCAATCAGGTACCATCAGAGTTGGTAACCTGGTATGAAGTTTGCTACGAACTCGAGTGTTTTTCAACCTTACCTGTCGGTATCCCGAACAGCTATGAACCTCTATCTTGCTCACGGGCTCTGTCATCGACTTCCACCGAGTCCTCTGGTGACGTCATATCGTGTCGATTGGAGGGGTGCGCGAGCAGTTCGGATCGTTTCAGCGCTGCACTGTCCCATGTCGTAGGGGGCCAGGAGGGGGAGAGAAACAATCCAACGCTTGTATTTGGCTTGTATGTACATATCACTTCCGCGTGGGTTATCCCGCGGTCGGGTCAGTGGTGCGTGCACACCCCATAGGGCAGTAGGGAGCGACAGGTAGGGAGGCGTCAGTGGTATTTGGTCTGTAATGAGTCACCTCACGTCACCTCACTGAGGTGACGTGTCACTGAGGTGACTGAGGTGACGTAGCATGATGGATGCAGTGGACACTGGACGGCTATTGCAGCCGGCTAGTGTTGGATCCATCGTAACCCGTGTCATAATAGTTTGTTTGAACGAAATTCGCGGCTCACGAGCCCCGGTGTGAGGGAATGTCGGTCAAAAAGTTAACACTCGTCGGACCTGTCGGTTTTCTACATACCTACGCCCCGCCGAGGGGGGGGGGGGTACGACCCCCTTGCCGTTTCGCCCTGATGGAGCTAGAGCGTCGCAGAAAAAAAAACGAGCACGTGCGCCGTTACAAGACGCAGCGACTGGTACCCGATTGTAATGTTTCAGTTCAACCGGTGACCTCTGAGGTCAGGTCAAGTGACCCAAGGCTCGAGTTAAGTTTTCCATAAATCACTTCTAAAAAATAAAAAAATAAACGGTCGCAGAGCCGCAATTTTGGCATCATCGTGTTTGCCTCGCTCAGGCACGTCGAATGATATATTTTTTTTGCTCGCGTGAGGTCACCTTGAGATGATGACCTCGGGTCAAGGTCGGGTCAGCGCCCCCCCCCCCTTCAGGTCACGAAACTGGTTAAAGGAGGTCATGTCGCACATCATTCGATTCGGTAGGTCTTTCTGAGTCCCTGTCCATTGGTGGCTTCCCCGACTCGCTAGCTTAATTTGATCGGGAGTTATTGACAAAAAAAAACTCTTATGACACAAGTGATGTCATAAATGACGTCACACAAAGTCAACAATGCAAAAGTGAAGCATCGGACCTTGCAAGGAGAGCAAGAAATCACGATTCCGTGTGCTTTAGATTGTTTGAGATTGTTCCCGGCGAGCAGTTTTCATTTTTCCCCATTGACTTATATACCTAATGGTGGGGTCACGTGACCAACCTGACCTCATGTGACTTTTAGGAAAAATATGAGATATACCTACAAGTTGTGAGACCTTTAGAGGATACTACATCCCGTAAGTTTCATCTCCTTGTATAAGTTCCTCTGGCATTGAGGGCGTTGCGAAGTTGCGACATCTGAAGACCGTGCAGAGGTTCACTTATGACGTCATAGGTCAGTGACCTGACCTGGCTTGAAAATGCGGTTGGTGTCACAAGATGCGTCTTGAATCAAAGGTTAGGTATGCCAAGTTTCAGCTTTCTATCGCGGGTGTGTTTGTAGCTATCGCGAGGAAGACCCCTATGGGGGGGGGGGGCATCCGCCCCCTCGGTCGGCGAGGAATGAAAAAACCGACGCCACTGGGCTCCAGCCTGGATTCAGCCAGAATTCGGGACACCTCGGATCCATTTCAAACTTGCAAACAACAGAGCTCTTGGGATAGGTAACGCGTAGCCTAGCAGTTCGGCGTCACTTCTAACCGTTTCGCCTACAGAGGTCAACAAAGGTCACACTTCTGCACAAGATTGTGGCCCACCCGGCGGAGCTAACAGCACTGAAAATTGCATGAAACGACTCACCATTATCTAAGGTACTTCCCCACAGTTGATTTAACACTAAAGGTCACGCCATGTCCCTAGGTTATTTACGGGTCAGGTAGAAAAATACATGCACAACAGTTCATGAATATGCAAATTGCGAACTTGAGCGCTTTACGCAAGGCTGCTTCACGTTGCAGTTGTATAGGTCAAACGAGGTCACATATTCACCAGCAGTTTGCAAGGAAAGTTGTGGCGGTCTCATACCACATATGGACTGCCGAATGATGCGACTTATTCGTATATTCAAGAGTCACTGTACTTACGGGCGTTTCTTAGACATGGCCCGTAAGTGACCTAAGCTAAGTTCATGACCTTTAGAGTTAAACAGTCGATAGCATAGCATAGTAGCTTCAGGTCACGGCGAGTCGTTTGGTGCCATTTTCACTTTCAGTGACCTATTGTAGCTCCTTTGGATGGACCACAATCTGCTGCCCAGCTTTTGGCCTCACGACCTTCGTTGACCCCTATAGGTGAAACGGCGCGGAATGATGTCCAGCAGTTCGGACTTCGGATCTCTTATTTCCTACCGCTAGGGCTCTCTCGACGCCATCGCCCCCATTTCAGCCATCACAGGTCATCATCCCATGGCCGTGGACCGGATATCAAATTGAGCACGCTTCCTTCTGCACGTACTTATCGTGGTACAATCAAATAGCGTTGCGAACGTAGCGGCTGTTCCTCGTCACGCTGCCGATATGCCTATGTGATCGCTAAGTCCAATGACCATGCCGAATGATGCAAATTGGGGCACTGACTCACTTGGAACGACTTTGTCACTATATTTGCATTTATTATGATCGGAGAGCACTCGAGAGCATAACAGTTCCGCGGGCAGCACTGCGCACAAGCACCCCTTGCACTGCCGTACGGGCTCCGAGTATGCTCTGTGAATGCTCTGCCGCAGGTTTATTACAGTAGGAACAGCCGACCACGATAGACAGCCAGTTTATTGTCAACTGGCAACAACATGTGAAAATCGCCAACTGCCGGAAGGGTCACTTATGTACAAATCAACAGACAATGTACAGCGCACAGGCAATCGATGCGGCACAGACTGCATATCACAACATTTCTCCGGCCGGCACCAGGAGCGCTCCCTTGCGGGCGGCGCCCGGCGCGTGGCTTGTTCCCAGAGTGAAGCAACGGCCCAGTGACCGCGACATAAATACTTACCGCGACGCCGCGGCCGCGCTCAGATCCGACCGGTGCCGCCGCGCAGCGTCACCTCAACTCCCCAGGGCACCGGCGGACAAACAAACAGCCCGCCGAGCCCGCCTCCCATGACTGGCTTCTGTGTAGCTGTAACAGCTCTCTCCCATCGCTGTCCCAGAGACCACGCGCGTCTCAGCTCTTTCGCGGTGTTTTGGCCTGCTTGGGCGAGCCGGCCGTCACAGGCAGGCGCCGCTTACAGCCCACCATGAGTGCGTAGTCGCGGACCGGCTTGCCGCGGCGAGACAGGCGTGCCGGGCTGTCCTCTCCACTCTCACAGCCGTTAGCCGCCGCCAGCGGCACCTCTGGCTCCTCGTCCTCCGAATCGTCCGACGCGTAGGAGTCGGCCACGGCGGCCAGCGCACTGGACTGCACCATCGGAGAACCCGCGGAGGCGGTAGGGGAGGCGCTCACGGCGGGCCGAGCGGCGGCAGGGGCGCCCACAGGGGAGGCGGCGGGGGAGGGTCTTACACTGGACCGGGAGGCGACAGGGGCGGTTACAGGGGTCACAGCGGTGGAGGCTTTCACAGCCGGCCGGCCGGCGGCGGGCGAGGAAACTGAAGACACTGAGGATGTGTTCACTGTCGTCCGAGCGGCGGTGGGCACAGTCTTTGGTCTGGGCGCCATGGGTTCTGTGCGCGCGGCACCGCTAGCCGGGCGCGGTGGCTGGCCGGCGGCGGTGGCGGCCGGGCGCAGCGGGGGCCGGGCAGTGACCACCGGCGCCGCCGCCGCCACCGCTGTCGCCGGCTCTGTCTCGTCTGACGACTGGGACGGCGGGGGAGTCTGGCTCGGAGCTGGCGAGGGCGCTGTC